AACACTGAACATTCACCTTCCTTTACCTCAGCCCTCAATGTGTTCATTCTCCAGTTTTGAGGCCACCTGCCCTCTGAGGGAGGCTGAGTTTTGCAAAGGCTGGCATTCCTGTGTTCCCAAAGACATTCTACTCAGCATAGGGCAGGTGCCTAAAAAGTAAAGAGGAGATGTACATGTACAACATAATGGGCCAAAGCAGAAGAGACACATTAAAAAGAGGACAACTTTTAAGCAGAAATCAAGACAATACATACTTGTAAGGCAAAACACAGTTTGTAAGGCAATACACAGTTTCTGTAATGACTCTGGCACTTTTGGATTGGATTAAGCAATATCCTCTTGCTAAGATACGTATCGACCCTGAGAAATTTTATTCAGTTTGTAAAGTCCCAGTTAAATTCTTTTGTACAATTGGAGAAATAAGAGCCTTTGATTACAAACTAAAATTTCCCCAGCCCTTTAAAAAGGGATGGGGGAGGGGAACAGGTGTGGAAGAATGTCTGATCTGTCATATTCTGTAGTCAGAGCCATAAACGTGTTTGGGTAAGGCAATCTGATGTTCTGATAACGTTGATAGAAGTAACATGAAGATTGGGTCACAGGAAGCCCAAGATAAATGCTGAGAGGAAACAGGTTCTTTTTGAAGTAGCCTCTTCATAATCATTTTCCCACACATTTGTTCAACTTCCGAAGGAAGAACGAATACCTGATTTGCTTTGCAAATGAAAGAGCTTAAGAACAAGATATTCAGCTAATATTGTAACAAGTGTGTTTGGAGGCTGCTCCAGCTCCCTTTGAATTCAGGCTGGGGCTTCAGAGCTGTGCTAACTGTTCGCATAAGACAAAGGCTGTGGTCTTCATTTATTTGGATATACTTGTTTGATAGTTGGATTCAAAATGACTTATTGAAAAAGATTAGAGCAGAAAAATAACAAAAATGTTATTAGGGGAGTAGAAGTAGAAAGGGAGTAGAAGTGATGATCCAGAGTCACACAGATGGTACAAGAGGCTACCAAATTTTATTGTCCCATCAGCCAAAGCAAAATTCTCATCATTTTACCTAATTCTTGCTTTTACCTAATACTTAGCTTTTAGAGATTTAATGAGATGACATGATGGACAATGTGCTCAGCCACCGCCTAACAAAACTGACAGTTGCAGAAAGGAGCACCTTCGTGGTATTGCGTGAAGCTCTGAAATTGAGGGGAGGGGCAAAGCTGCAAAGGTGGCCCTACTTTTTACCTTGCTAAGGCCATGGAAAGCTTTTAATTTATTGTCATGTTCTGCATGCATCTAGGAGTTTTATATAAGCTGGTCACTGTGAAAAGAAAGAGAGCAAGCTCTAGAGAGGCCAGAGGAATCTCCTCCTCTACATGCAAAAAAAAGTACACTTTAAAAAATCCTTTGATACTAGCCATGGGAGGCTCAGGAGTCTGAGGCAGAGGATCACGAATTCTAAGCCAGCCTTAACAACTTAATGAGGCTCTAAACAATTCAGTGAGACCCTGTCTCTAAATAAAACACAAAAAAGGGATGGGGATGTGGCTCAGTGGTTAAGCGCCCTTGAGTTCAATACCAGGTACCAAAAAAAAAAAAAAAAAAAAAAAAAGTGCTCCTTTGAAACTAGTCCACAAATCCAAAATTTCTCCAGACCCACTTTGAATTTCTGATAGCTGCCTGGCACAGTGCCTAATAATTGGTGTTTGTCAAAAGAACATGTGATTGAATATAATCCAAGAACTATGATTATTTTGGAGATGCTCTAAGCTTATGAAGAGTTTTGAAATGAGATCATGGTCTTGTTACCAGCAGGCAACATTGCCCCTGACTTTCCATGGGATACTTTCTACATACACGTTTCTTTACGTTATGACCTAAGAACTGGCTTTTGTTCTCCAAAACCTAATGAAAAGGATAACACAAATTGGCTAAAATATTTTTGGTGAAAAGGAAATTTTATCAATGAGAAAAAGTACATTTAAAAATACTTCTGCCAGGCGTGGTGGCATATTCCTATAGTCCCAGTGGCTCAGGAGGCTGAGGCAGAAGGAAGGATCACGAGTTCAAAGCCAGCCTCAGCAAAAGCAAGACGCTAAGCAACTCAGAGAGACCCTGCCCCTAAATAAAATACAAAATAGGGCTGGGCATGTGGTTCAGTGGCCAAGTGCCCCTGAGTTCAACCCCAGTATTCCTCCCCCCAAAAAATTTCTTCCAAAGTTGTTTCATAATGATTTCTGTTTAAAAGACCCACAACATTAAGAATTTCTGGGTGTGAAATTAAAAACACAGGACTCTTTTAACTACACAAAATTGAGATGTTAAGCACAAAGAAACTGCTCATTAATGTCAGGCTCAAAGTAAACACAAAAGTAGTTCAGAAAAAAAGGCCATCACTACAGGCTTTATAAAGGTAAAAGATTTTATTTCTTATCTAACCATGCTGCATGTGTACATACAATAGTGATATATACAACTTGAACAAATACAATTTATACATGAAATACCATGAAAGTGTGGCTTTTAAATTTAACACAACAAACTTGTACAATTTGTAATTTTGGCCAGTATACAGTATTGTTAGTAATGCTATTGAAGTTATTAAGGATTTAAATTACACTAAAGTTAAGTTCAAAGGCACTAGAAAAGATCTATGTTTTCTTGTATTATTTTACGAAAAAAGAAAAGTTAAAAAGGAAAATAAATGCATACATTAAGAAATTGGGCAGACACTGGCGTGCTTAAATGTAAACTCTACCCATTCCTTAATTCACAGCCCTGTAGGAAAGAGAGGGACTTTCCTTAAAAATTAAGGGGAACACAAGTGCCACTACATAATGACTATATACTGTATAATTACTTATGTTCTAATTTTAAAAAAGGAATTAAGGGGAAAGATATTAAAAACAGACTAAAAAAGAAGCAAAAACAAAATCCCCAAGCTATAATAATTTTAAAAACATGTTACAGATGATATTATAACACTTCCTTCCCCCAAAGTAATGTTAAATTTTTTGAAGAAAAAATTCTTCTTTTTCTAAAAAGTACATGAAATAGCTTGTCAAATGAGTTCTTACTTGTGCAACAAATGTGTAGATGCAGAAGTCCGCCACCCCCCTTAAGGAATCTTACACTTCACAAGAATCTAAGCACAAATGGGGAATACCATTATATTTTAAATTACAACTATCTATATATATATAATTACAAGGTTTACTGAAGAACATACTTAAACAAAACATGGTAGCAAGGCCCCTTTTAATAAATAAATATTGCTTTTTAAATTAAAGGGAAAGAGAATATTTATTCAATAACCTATTATATATTTGTGACATTTTAAATCTGCACATTTACTTCAAATAATGAGCAAATTTTGTTGGTGTATATTATTTTAGGAAATTAACACTGAATTTATAAAATATTTCATTTGTGAAATAAAACACAGTAAATGTGAAAAAAACAGAACTACTGTGACTGGAGCTAAATGAATAGCTCTGAAGTCAGTGTCCTATATATTCAAATGGATATTCAGACCTGGCTTGAATATCTAATTTTTGTATATTTGAATATTTAATGTCCATCTGGCAGAATCAGTTCTAGAATTAATTCTTTTTTTAATAAATTGCTAAAGCAGGCTGCTCAAGAATTTCTCAACATTTGACACTTCATAGATTTCTTTTTGTTCTTGTGTTGGGGTGGGATAGAAAAAAATATTTTACATACTGTGGCTTAAATTTCTATAATGTTTTCAGCTTAATTCAAAAGGTATTCCTTTCCTATTAAATAAACTGTTGAAGGCTAGAAACATGGACTTTTAAAAAGAAAGAGCATTGGTCACTTTTTTCCTACAGGTAAAGATATCTGTAGACTAATTACTAAAGTTAAGTGTGCATCATCAAAAACATTTTACAATTTCCAAGATATTCTACTCACATAAAGTCTTGACAAGACATACTCACCTCAAGTCTTCACAGTACCTAAACAATGCCCCTCGGAGCAAAGTTATATACTTCTAACTCTCACACACAGTACAAAGAAAATGCTGCCAAGTGAAATGCAGTTCTAATTACCTAGCAAATACCACACAGGACATTCAGGACTCCACTTCCAGAAAGTACTTCAAACATATGGACACATTTTTACTACCACCTCACCAGTATTCTACCTCCACTTACTACCACTCTAACAGAACTCTAACACCCCAGTATAATTAGTAAACTAATGTTTAATCAAACTTATTTAAATAATGTTAATTTAATAAATCCTAACTTGAGAAGTCTCAAAACCTTTGCAACTAACACGTGTCAGGGGTGATTATGAAATTTTAAAACTCACAGAACAGAAGACTAAGTGGTTTAAGAATAGAAAACTTTTACAAAAAAAAAATTAAAATTTTGTTAAGTAGCCAACCAAAAACAAATTATCTATTTCTTAGATTACTATGAAATGAATAAATATAATTTTTATATTGAGAGGAATATGGTCCAACTGGGCATATCAATAGAAGAAATTTAGAAAATATTTTCTTTTATAAAATATTTTAAAAAATAATAAAGTGGTGTTTAGTTTTTGTTTTGCGGTACTGGGATCTAATCCAGGGGCACTCTACTACTGAGCTACCTCCCCAGCTCTTTTTATTTACTTTTTAATATTTTGTGACAGGGTCTTGCTAGGTTGCTGAAGCTGGCCTCAAACTTATGATCCTTTTGCTGCAGCCTCCTGAGTCATTGAGATTACAGGTGTGTACCACAACACTTGGAAAAATAAAATGTTTTAAAGGTCAAGGATTCAAAAAGATTTTTCTGGCTTAGTTGCATTTTCTGGAAAATAAAAGCCCTTTTCGTTGGGATATAGGTAATTTCCATCAAAATTTAAAACTTATACAAGGGAAAGCATACCCAAATCACACTTCAGAGAGAATTTTTAAAAAATAGACAATACAGGCAAAGATACTCCTTTATGTTTGTACAATTCAATGTTTCAAGAGAAGATGAAGCCAGAACAACAAAAAAAGTGTATTTAATTGAACTCAAAGTAGCAAAAAAGGTCAGAAGAGATCGAAATGAAATATATTTTCAATATTTGGTTTCAAAACGTATACTTGTGAGGACCATTGAATTACAAAATTTTCTACAGAACATAAATAAGATCAGTCATTCATACTTAAATTCAATGAATATTAATATAAAAAATAAAATATATATGAACAGGCCAACAGGGTTGGTGTTAGGACGGAGTCATTTCTTACATGTGCAGCCCAACATTCACATATAGCAGCACAATATGGGGTAATTCAACCTGCTACTTTCTACATGCAAAACAGGACATTTTTTTTCCCCTGTACTTTGAAATTATTTATCTAAATATAGAGTAGTTGGGTAAATAGCTAACAGACTTACATTACATCAAATTGCAACTCTATAGCATGAACTGCTCCCCCAACTTTCTGGTACAGTACAGTTCAAGAGTAGTATAACAATCTGAACAATCACCAATTGTACAATTTTAATATGTTAACTTAATGTATATGTTTAAAAATTATGCAAATCATTGTTTCCAAGTCTTATATCATGATAGTTTTCATTATTTGAAATTACACAGAAGTCTTCAGTGATTTAATTAAAGATTTGTCCAGGCATAGGAACATCACTAATTTTTATTGTAACTTTGATTCTATAACATTTACTGAAGTAAAGAATCAATTACTGTCTCAGGCTTTGCAGAACGCTTTCTGTTTGAAGAAAAAAGAAAACATGAATGCTTTTAAAAAGACAAAAATGCAAACACTTTACAACATGTAGTAGAAAAATAATGGGGTGGCTACAGAGTCTGGAAATTGGCTGACATCACACCCCAGTATACAGGGTAGTGAGAGATTGGGGAGATGCTAGTGTCCAAAACTGGACTAGACAATGTGGCCACGTCAAGTAGGTTGCACGCTCCAGTTTGGAATCTCTTGCTAATCTCTTTTGGGCTATGCTAATGGCATAGGTGGATTGTGTAAGAATCAGACACAAATCATCTTAAGCAACAACTCACAGATACCTATGTAGGGACTGATGGAAATGCTATATTATTATACTATTTATGCAATTAAGCCCAGCACAATGAATTATGTATTTCTAATGAGGACTATCACATTGAACATATCATGTAATATAATATTGATGAACCATTTATTGTATATATTTGCCTAGATTTATGGCTATCTACAATTTTTATGATAAAACAGGATATTTCTGGTATACAAAGATGCTGACTTTGGCTCACATAATGTTAGCCCACACTGTTTTTTTCAGTTTAACCTAAAGCTAAGCTTAAAAAAAAAAAAAAAAAAAGGTACATATTGAAAAATGAACGTTATGGAAGCCATATCCAAACAGCTCATCAAATTTGATGTTTTAGGTCTACAAAATAAAAAAGTAACTAAAAACTGAGGGATCTCATGTAAGTAATCTGAATTTCTTGCTTCTCCTTAGAAAAGAGAAGATCCAGAAACAACGGGCCCTCTATTCCCACAACTAATTAGGAACTTTTAAAAGCACAGCTCTCCAGCTTGCCCCAGTCCCCTCCACTAGCTACTTTCTACTATGCCAGGACCAACTATCTTACCATCATACTTGTAGTGTCATATTTCCTAGTAACTGCAGAGTTAAGAGGAAAATATTTCTAGTAAAAGTGGAAAAATAAAAGATCTAAAAGAATTTGTGTTTCTTAGAACTGATTTGCTTCATTCCTTAATATTGCATGTGTGTCTTCGGTGGGCACATGAAAGTTTTTAAACTGCTTATCTAAATGCTGAAGAATGCAAAAATTTGTACACTTTAAATGTGTAACTGATTTCCCTACCACTAGTTCTGTTACCTCAAGTTTAAAAGTATTAGGTTATGTCTATGAGATTGTATAATAAAAAAAATTAAAAACACACAACTTCATCTATTATAGAAAAGTACATGAAATCAAGAAAAAAAAGAAGCTCGTTATCTGCTACAATTTCAGGAGCTCCGATGCAATTAGCCTAAACAGGCTGCACAATACTTGATATAGGAAAAATGGAGAACAAACTCCAGCCCAGGACTGATTTCCTTGGGCTTATGTGATAATACATGAACATTACCATGGTCATAACCAACTATCTTACTATCATACTTGTAGTGTCCAAAGAAGTGGGTAAGATGATCAAAGATTCCATTATGATAGAGGAAATAAAAGTTCTTGGGGTTGTGTTTATGATAGGAAAAACTAACCAGCTGAATACAGTAATTTGGGAGTCTAACCAGGCAAATTAATTAACATCTTGCTAGAAAAACTAGTGTAAGAATTAAGCAATTTAAAAAGATAGTGATTCATTAAACATTTGGAAAGATCAAAGTGGATTAAAAATAACTTATATTACTCTAGAGGGCTAAAGAAGTTGGAATACCTTAATTCTTTAGTCAGATTTTACTTGCTCAAATTGTGACAACATAAGAAATTTGATTTTTAACTTATCAACTAAAATATTTATCGTGCTAGATAAATTTTAGTTTCCTCTAAGTGTATTAATCATTTTATTGGATTCAAGGATGGTCCTTACCTTCTCCCTGTTTTTGGCCTTGTTTTCCCCTTTGATGTCCGTGGCCTTTCTAATTTCATCAAAGACTGACGCAAACTCTCCTCAGTATAGGCAAGATACACATGGGAAAGATCTACTTCAAAGGGCTAGTGAAAGAAAAATTAAACCAGATACTCTTTAAAAAGTTAAACCAGATTTAGGGGAAGATGTAAAATACTGAACAAATACCTAGCAAAAACAAAACAAAACAAAACAAAAAAAAACCAGAGAAGATAAAACTAAATAAATATTTAAAGACTTCTTCTAAACCAATATCTGAAATGTATTCACCAAAGTTTGGTGAATTAGAACATCTGAAACATTATAAATTTCCTCAGACATAAAGAAAAACTGTTACTAACTTCCCCAAACCTTATTCCTCTTCTTGTTGACCTAGAACTAGAACAAGCTTTGAAAGGGAAGGTAGATGCATTTTAGTCTCTCACCATATCCCCATGAACTAGAGAGGTGAAAAGAAGATTCCAAAGAGTGTCTCCAGATTATTCTTGTGACAGAAATAAGCTGGCCATCAGGATAAGCCTGAGAGTGAGCAGAATTGTCCTAATAACCGTTCCATCCTAGAGGAGCCCACTTTTCAGCAGAGCTGATTAACAGATACCAGGTTAATAGCACACTGTAATGACCCACATTCCTATAAAGAAATATATGTAATTTTTTAAAAAAAAGTATTCTTACATCTTTCTCCTTTTTATCAGGTACTGGTGTTTGCTTCCTCATGTTATTTCCTGTATAGGCAACACATTTCTCAAAAAAGGAAAGGGTGGGGAAGAAATGTCTTAATTAGTAATTAGTACTGTGAATTAGGCAAACTACTGTGAGATATCCTGATGTTTCACTAGTAAAACATGATTTGAATGTTGATACAGAAAAGGAACCAGAGGTCAATCAGTTCCATATCTCCTGACCTAGGCCATTTCTACCACATGATCTCTGTTACAGTTAATTAGAAAACCATCTTAAATGCCCTACTAAATTCTCATCTGATTCATCCTCTGGACCACTTCCCACCTCATGGCAGCCAGCACAATTTCTAGTCCAGAGAAAAAGTAGTTCACATTATTTCATGAAAGGATGAAGATAATACTCACTAGCTGCCATTCTCCTATGTCTTCATTCCAGTGTACATAGTTTTCAATCATTTCCTTTTAAAAGTGAAGGACAGTTCATTTTTAATATTTAATAGCATTTAAATTATTGAAAAATAGTAGTCAGTCGCTTAAGTGACAAAAGTTTCAAGATATTATATTACATGATACTATTTCTATTAAGTTTTAAAATATAAATTCTTAGGAACATGTGTAGGAACTATTAAACTATATAAAAATAGGGCTGGGGATATTATTATTCAGTGGTACAGCACTTGCTGAGCATGTATGAGGCCCTAGGTGTCATTCTCAGCACCAAACACACAATCTCACACACACACAAATATGTTATACTGTATGTGTACACTATTGTGTGTGTGTGTGTGTGTATACATTTACATATATACATATGTCAAGAGAATGAGAACACAGGAATCAGAATGATGGGTACATTTGGTTGGAAGAAGCATGGATGGAAGAGTGTGGGAAACCATTTGGTTAAAAGTAGGTTACTGTCAAGGTCCTAGCTTTTGTTTTGGGTGATGAATTCACTACAAAATAACTAACTAAATTAAAGCAGACCATCCAAGGACAAATAAAAAGAGTGGGCTATGTATCCAGTATTAATTTCATACACCTGAGGTCCAAAGGAAAAAGTACTAAGGCTTATTTTCAGACAAATATTGGGAATTCAAAACAGATTTTTAAGAAAATCATGTTACAAAGTTGATTAAAATGAATTGGAAAGAGAATTTTTGGTTATGAAAAAGAGGATAAGACTTTTAAATTATACTTGACTAAGAATTATCATACATTTGGAGATGAATGGTGATGATGGCTGCACAACAATATGAATATTCTTAACATTGCTGATCTGTACACATTAAGGATGGTTAAAATGATAAATTTCATGTATGTTCATTTTACCAACCAGACACACAAAAATTAACATCCATAAATAAGGCAAAATAGCCTAGGGGTTCTATTTACTGGACCTATACTTTGATTCTGATTGCATTTACATGAATCTGAATTCTCCAAATGAAAGAGAAATTCTTAGATACTTACATATTAAGGGAACCTTAATTAGATATTTAGATATTAAGGGAAGTTAACCGAAGTTAACTGGCATTGTTCAAGAAACTTTTATAGATAATAGCTAAATTAAATTAAATTACAAATTTCATTTCCTTTTTTTAACCTCAGTCCAGTGACTAACATCTAGATTAGAGAACTTCCTGCTTACCTGATAGTCCTGAGGTATGAAGTTATCAATAATAAGCATTTGAAGTCGAAGCTCCCGGCTAAGTTGCCGAATGTTTTCCAGTAGGCCTTCAATTTCCCTCTGATGTTCTTGTTGGAGATCTGCCATCTAACAGAAAATCCATAAAAATATTATAAATAAATAAGATTTTGAGTACAAAAGTTCCTCTGACATAGGACATTGGCTTGTCAGACCTTATGCAGTTCTTTTATAAAAATAAAATAGACTGACACTATCACTATGTCAACTTATTAGTCAAAATTGGGGAAAAATTAGTTTGATAGCTAAAACTAAAAATTGCACATAAAGGCAAAGTATTTTATTTATTTCTTTAAAACTGTAAGTTCATGTTATGATTACGTATGCATTCTTAATAAAGGAATTTCTTCCTTAAAAATTCAGAACTAGGGCTGGGGCTGTGGCTTAGTGATAGAGCACTTGCCTAGCATGTGTGAGGCATTAGGTTCGATTCTCAGCACCAAACATAAAAAAATAAATAAAATAAAGGTCCACCAACAACATTAATAACAATAAATATTTTTTAAAAATTCAGAACTATATTTGTAGATCATTCTAAGAAACCAACCTCTGACTTTGCAGCCATCAGCATAGTCCAAACTTTCTTTAATTTCTTGGTCTTTCCCTGTGCTTCCTCTTGTAAACTGGTATATTTTTCTTCAATATCTAAGCGTTCTTGCTATGATAAAAATTGGTAAACTTCAGAATCATTTTAAGACACAAATTTAAATTATTTTAAAAAGTTAGTGACTATTATCTTCAAAATAAACCATATATCTGCTTTTAGTGCCTGTCTCCCAGTTATTTAGGAGGCTAAGGCAGAAAGATCACAAGTTCAAGGTCAATTCAGGCAACTTAGTGAGGCCCGCCCATCTCAAAATAAAAAATAAAAAGGGCTGGACATGTAGCTCAGCACTCTGGTTCAATCCCTAGAACCCCCCAACATACACCCTGTTTCAAAATTTTATTAAGATTATAGATATTAAAAGATAAATAACTTAGGCAACGAATATTAAACTTAAAGCAAAAAGTCACATCACCTCTTTTTCCTCAAGTTCTCTGCGAAGCTGCTCTGCTCTTTTCCTCCTTTCTTCCAGCTCCATGTTAGATTCTTCAAGTAGTTTTTCTTGTTCCTCAGCTTTGGCCAATAAATCAACACCACCAACAATTACTTTCTTCTCCAGAGCAGATAATTTTTCCAGCAAAGATTGATGCTCTTGTCTATTGATTCAAATGAGAATACTCTAAATTCACTGATCAGCTACTGTTCTAATAATGGCATTTCCCAAAATTTGATAAGAATTTTAGGTGTACAATTTCAAAATTAAAAAATAATTATATAACATCTCTATGAAACTATACCTCTGTGTAGTTTTAATTCATTAACCTCTAATTCAAACTCACCAATATTTTTCCTCCCACAGAGATTAAATAATTGAAACAGATTTAATCTTTAGAAATATATCACATACATGGCATTTTCTACCTCAGAACAGCTATACTTGAAACAACAATCAAGCTTTTAGTTACTATTCAATTTTCCTGCTCATATATCTTATGAAAACTATTAGAAATTTAAATCATGAATTCATCTCAATTCAATAAAACTCACTGAGCTTTAAGAAGATCTTTTTCCCGCTTCTCTAATTCAGCTCTAGCCTTGTTTCTTTCTTCTTCTTCCATGTCAAGCTTTGTTTCAAGTGCTTTTCTCTCCTCATCAATTTTTGCTTGCATTTCAACCATCTTATCTGGAGAAACTTTCTTTTTACCTATTTGAGTCATTTAATTGCAACAGTCACTAAAACAAGTGAGTGTTTCAGACAAGTAAATTATCTTTGATACAGAACTGACTAGACTCCTCAATAATACAAAATATCAACATTTTAAGAAAATCAAATTGATAGTATCACTCATTTCCATTTATGTTCTAGAAAAACTTTTATTTTTTAAAAATATTTTTTAGTTGCCAATGGATTTTTCACTTTATTTATTTATATGTGATACTGAGGATCAAACCCAGGGAGGGCCTCACACATGCCAGGCAAGTGCTCTACAACTGAGCCACAACTCCAGTCCTAGAAGAACTTTATAATTCACTGCTAAATTCAAATTGTTGTTCAAATGTACAATGATATCTAAGAACAAAAGTAGGTTAAAGAGAAGCAAAACAGATGGGCTGAAAATAGGGAAAGAAAGAGTAATAGGAAAGCCAAATAAAATAGCAAAAATTTCTGTGTCCCCAAACAATACATACAGGATAAAAAAGAAAGCAAAATGATTCTTCAGTTTCTTTCTCCTGATAATAAAGTACAATCACAAGTGGCTTCTCAAAAACTGTCTCCCAAATAACATAAATTAAAGACACATATAGATATAAAATACAGATAAAAATATCAGAATTTGTATCAGGTAGATTTTAATTTATTCTTGAGAGTTTTAAAAATTTATTATTCAGGGTTTTTCTAAAACTTTTGTTTAATAAAATTATTAGAAAGTATTTTCTACCACATAGTATATTTCTAAAGGAAAAAATTCTATAATAATTATACAAGTTACATAGTATTTTACAGCTGATTAGCTGTTATGATTATCATCAGATCCTAAATGAGCAACTAAAATGCTCATTACTATGTCAAACTCAGGATCCTAAATCTCCCTAACTCAGATTAAATAAGTGTCAAATATAAGCAGAAATACTACCAAATAATAAAGCTGAAACATAACTTCCAGTTGATCATTTTGATTATAATGTCTAAAAGTGTTTTATATATATATATATAATAGGTATTCAATGAAAGTTTACTGATGAATTTCAAAAATCATGAAATTCATATGAAAAATCAAAAAGAAAATAAAAACTAGCTTACTAAAATGGTTATGGAACTGAATCAATGACAATTCATTTCTGGCAACTATTTCTCAGAATCATATGTTCCTTCAGAAAAACCAATCAAACTTTTCACAGAATTGATCTGAGGCTCTCCTGAAAGCTTTGTCATTCTTAACTTCCTTCCCAAAGGACTGTAGAAGAAAAGGGTAAACCAGAAGAGTTTATAAATTGTTAATGCCTTTACCCCAATCCAACCCCTTCACTAATAATGAGGAAAAAAAACTGAATATAATTATGATGGTAACATATATCTGAATATATCCTTTGAAGAACCATGAGAGGAAGAATCATTCATAGGCTTCATTTAACTCTTCAGGCCAAAATTATATTAAAAACAAACAAACAAGGGTTTAAAATACAATATCCTTCATTTCTACAGATCTGTAAGTTCAAAGCAAAATCTAAGCCACAAAACAAATTAAAATAAAAGCACTGATCTACATGCTTTGGTATGGTGTGATTCATTGCATTCCAAAAGTCAGGATGTGGACTTGAATCTGTTGGCTTGTTTATCACAGTCCCCTGTGTGATACCTTCTGGGTTATATGGTTAAAAAATAACTTTTAAAAATAATTTAACTCCTTTTCTCAATGAATACTTAGAAAGAATTTCCCATAAGTAATACAATTTCTCAGAAATTTGAGAGACAAAAGATAAATTTAGGTGTGTGCATTTAAAAACCTGTAACTTCCTCTCCACCTCAGAATTACAAATATTTAAAGAAAAAATGGCAAATATGTTAAAAGCAAAACAACACAGGTATGAAGACATGGATGCTTGACATATGAACATGAATATTTTTAGGCCTTTAGGATTCTAATTGTCTTCATTAATAGTTAAAAATAGTTTTTACAAGGCCTGGTGGCACACAGGTAATCCCAGCTACTTGGGAGGCTGAGGCAGAAGGATCACAAGTTCAAGCTCAAAGTCAGCCTCAGCAACTCAGTGAGACCCTGACTGGGGATGTAGCTCAGTGGTAAAGCACCACTGGTTTTAATCCAAACAAAACAAAACAAATAAAAATAGTTTCAAAACCTATAAAGTGGTGAAAAAATAAAAGATTGAATATGTAGAAATATAAAAATGCATGCCTCTTGATGAATTAATACTATGCCTGAATTATATTAGTAAAAATCATGTGGTTATGTTTTTCAAAGTGATGCTTTCGTAGCAAAAAACACTACTGTGCTGCTCTTGTAACATTTTCATGAAGATGACCATGCATATATAATCAGTATAGCTAGAATCAATTTCAAAAGTCTGATATTTACCATGTTAGTCTAGCCAGAATCACTTTGATAAATCATTATATTTCTTCAAATAATACTTTAAGCTAACTTTGACTATGTTCCAACTCTCCTAACCAGTCATTTTAAAATGAGGCATTACTAATAGTCACTTTTACATGTACTTTTAAAATTAATTAATTTATTTTTACCCTGTTCTTTATGATACAAACAAGGTTTAGCCTCCAGGGGGCTGGCCTGTGGACTCCTGGGTTAGGGTTAAGGTGCTTTAGTCTGGGGGAAGGTGGATACCAGGGGCAAGAGCCTGGTATCTAGGAGCACAGAGGTGATCTCCCCTCGTCACCATCACTGTTAAGTAAGAACTTTGATTCTTCTAACTACAAATATTTTAAAAGACTTTTTTAAAGGGTAAGGGAGTAAGGCTGGGAAGTAAAGCACTTGCTTAGCATTGGTAAGGCCCTGGGTTTGATCCCTAACAACATACACACATAGCCTCTTATAAACAAAGCCAGTTAATTAAAAAAACAACAACTACCACCCCATAACAACATAGTTTCTAATATTACATGATAAAATTTCAGCACAAAATTTCAGGTAAGTAAATTTTAATAATGCCAGAATAAAGAGTATTTAATTAAGACAAACAGAACTAGTAACATTTTCCAGTTGCACTTTGTCATGTGTTCTAACCAAAACTGTGATGGTGAACTGGCAAGGAAAGTCTGAGGGGAAGAACTTCAGGGAAGTATTAACTGAATTCAATTCATATTATTAAATGAGTACACCCACCAGCATAGCTCACAGGCACTTTATTCTTGGCTTTGAAAGAAAAGAATGGAAAATGTTTGTGAAATCATTTATAATTGTATTTCTAAAATGTGACTTTAAGAATTTAGGAAAAAAGAAAGTTTTATTTTGTTTTTGGTATCTGGGCTTGAAACCCATAGTGCTGAGCTACATCCTCAGTACTTTTTTTTTTTCATTTTGATACAGGTTTTGCTAAGTTGTTTAGGGACTCAACTAAGGTTGCTAAGGCTAGCCTTGAACCTGTGATCCTCCTGCCTTAGTCTCCCAAGTGTTTTTTTTTTTTTAAGTTGAAGTTGAAAGAGTTTTTGAATACAAAAAAATGGATACTTACCTTGCAAAAAAATATTAAATTAAAAAATGCTATTTAATTAACAAAGTTCTTTATAAGATAAATAACTACTAAGTGGAGTGCAAATCAATCACACCAACCTGCTTGATCTTGCAATAAGAAGTGGTAAGCAAATCGTAGACAGGAAGCATATGCACAGAGATGAGGAAGAAAAAAAGGAAAACATTATTTCCTTTGTAAAACAAAAAAATGTATAATAGCATTTACAGTATAAGTAGAGAAATAAATCAAATCATTATCAAAACGGAAATAAGAGCCCATGTAAAAAGAAAGCATATTGAATATAATGAGAGATACAATTTAAGCAAGGAGAAGATTACTTTACTCTAAGATTACAACTCAAAGAGCTCACACTGACTCCCAAATTCCTGCAAATGTAACAATTCAGCATCATGTGGTTATGTTAAATGGTAGACAAAGAATTGGGAACCTGTTAAGACCTGGGAAATTCTAAAAGAACAAAGCAGAAGATTAAGCCAATTTTTAAAATTAATAAGTTGAAAGTAACAAAATTCACATTGTCCATTTCCAAAATTTCCCAATTCAATGTGTCTCCTAGTACAAAGATCCATTACAGATGTGCCCCATTTTAAGAAAATCCAACTCAAAACCCTGAATCAACAAGAGATAAAAGTTTATAATTTTCACTATTTGACAAAAAAATTTTATGAAGAATTTTTAAAGACAGCAAGTTCACAATAAACTGTTTTCCAACTTGATTTATAAGCAATGTTTTCAGAGGAAAAAATTTACTATATAAAATGGAGTACACCTGTATAGTAACAAACTTACATTCAACCTATTAGTAGATTATAGAAGTAAATGATAACTGATGATTCAAGCAAGGGACACCTAAAAAAAAAAAAGGCCACTCAGGTTTTATAAAGGGAGGGTACATACATAACAAGTTACACACACCAACCACATGCTTGGGACAATTATCTCTCCACTTCACCAACCTACCCATGTTACAACAACAACATATTTTATGTGCTAAGTATGCAAATAGCAATGAAAACTTCTTGAATTGAACAAAGTACAACTCATTTCACACTGTAAGTTCATGTAACTATTCTTTAAGAACAAAGATAAGTTTTGCATTAGAAAAAATGCAATGTTTCCTACTCAGATATTTCTCATATTTCAGTTTATAAAACAAAATTAACCTTTATATGGTCTCTAAAGCAACATCATGTATTTTTTTCAAATTATCCTCTGAAGTGAATCATTTTGGTAAATTGCTTAAGAATCGTCAATAGATAGATTTTTGCTATTCTTGGATTCTTCCTCTAAAAAGCTAAATGCATAAGAACAATAAGCAATTATTTTGTTATTAGTTTGGGAAAGGTAAGAATATAGATAATGCTTTAAAAAGACAGTAAGCTGCAAGCTGGTATAAGAAGGTATCATCTCCCTTCTGAGAATAAAATATGAATAGATAAAATTAAATAATACTTTTCAACTTAATTAAAGTTTAAGAAAAAGTCTGAAATAAGTCTAGACAGATCCTGAGTAAACTTCATGTGGTTCTTAATTATTTAATCACATCATAGAAAAATTCTTAAAACCTATCAGGTAATTAGAAATGGAGATAAAGTCCATTTGAAATAAAATACCACTCAATTTATTTTTATTTGCTTGAAACACTCCATTTTTCTTTATTTGAGAGTCTTTAATCTTAAGCTACTGCTAAGAATAGGACACCAAAGTGTAAAATTTTTATAACTGTATGACATGTTATAATGGGTACTGGTATACTGCCAAATGTAATTGGTACTTTTAGAAATTCAGGATTTGTTGTTACATGTCCCTTATACTGACCAAGAGTAAACATTTATAATGAAACATAAAAAAACAACCATAAGAATTTTTCTTTTATACAGCTTACTAGCTCTCTTTACATTATCTCAACTGCAAAAGCATGAATCTCTCTTCCATTGTCTCAAACATAAGCTAAAGCATATGTTTTAACAATTATGGTTAACTGGAAGCAATGAAGGGGCATGGGGGATCATCAACATGCTTTGTTCTACTGAGAAGTCCAACATGTATTCTTCAAATAATGACAGGGAGCGGTGCAGCATTGCTCAAATGAAGCCCATGGGTTATGGAGAAGCCAAAGCTCTGTTAGAGAATTTAAGAGCTACCACTCACTAGTCAAGAACTTATCCAGAGGTTTCTCTATGACAGAACATGTGGAGTCTGAACTACTGCTGCTGCTACTGCCTGGAAGACAAAGAAATGAGCCCAACGCCAACCAAAGAAAGAAAAAAACAGGAATATGAACACACATATAGAGAAAAATTCAGTTCCAGAGAAAGAATTTTAAAGGACAAACAAGCTTTGTATTAAAGAATCAAAACTTAGTTTCCCTTAAAACCAGTTTTGGTAGTAGTCTATCCAATGTTCTCTACTTCCCAAAGCCATATGGGGGGATTAGAAACTGTATTTAAGATTCACTGTGTGCAAATTTTATTACTCATTTAAAACACTGCATGTTGAAATGACAAGAATAAAAAATATGTTATTTGGTGACATTTAAGTCTATTTAAATTATTTAGGTTGTAAGTTAAAGGAAGTTTTAAAACTTAAAGTCAAATTCAACTAACATTATAGGTCTGTCACCAATTTCCCTCTCTCCCCTCATGGCATCAAACTATCAAATATAAATATTTATGTTTAAGGTATGACAGCAAAATTGAAAAGGCTCACTGAAAAAATTTAAATTTCTAAGGCTGGAAGGCATATTATCATTAAATATTTTAATATATTAAATAGTGGCATTTTTCTACATAAAGTTTTATTCTTAATAAATCTATTATATGCTTTATAGCTTTCTAAACAACAGTTCATTTTGTTAAAAAAAAAACTAGATATGAACAAAAAATACATTTCTCTAAGTCAGGGTTTGGCAAACATTTTCTGCAAAAGGACAAATAATATGTATTTATAGGCCATAAGCCATGTGAAAGCAGCCACAGAACATATGTAAACAAATGAACATAGTTGTTTTAATAACATATTATTTACAAAACAGATATGGGCTAGACTTGGCCAGCAGGTTGTATTTTACCAACTCTTGCTCTAAATCATGCTTTTCCTCTCTTCTGAATTTATACAATCTTACAGTTTTTAAATTTGGGACTCCTGATCAAACAGTGATGGGTTTATTTTCAGCAACATCATTTAAATAAGACAAGCAAAATATGCACCAGCTGGAAAACAATGATCCACACTAATGGAAGAGAGTTCTGAAATAAATATTTAGGATAAATAGGCTTGAAATGCAGGCCATTATAATATGTCCATCTCTTTTGCATGTTATCTATAATCTTAGCATGACAAAGTCTTAATTCACACATGATAACATATGCCCCACATTGGGGTGAGAATGAGCACATATTATAAAGAAAAGGAATTAGATTTTAAAATACAATACTTAAACAAATTTGTTATTTAAAAATCTAATGAATTCTAAAGATTAACCTTACTTGAGGAAAAACTCCACATTTTCCTAATTTATTAAAATATGTAGGTTCCTAACAGATCCAAGTTCTCACGTAAAATCAAAACTCTACCTAAAATTTCAAAATGTTATATCCACTCTCATAGTTTTACAATTCAAAAAAAAAATCCAAACTATTCTGAGTAAGCTAAGAACAGATTAGTGGAGAAAAAAAACAATGCAAAGTTAACTAGGTATATGGCATACATCCTCTATTCTAATTGTTACCATAACTATAAAAGCAAAATAGAAGGCATGCACTCTGTTGTCTTAGAAATGTGAAAGCATTATTAGGTAGCAATCCTAATTATTTCTACCAATTAGAATACTTAACAGAACTTACCCCTTCTCTTTTTCCTTTTCTCTCCATCTTCTCCAACCTCACCCTCTTCATCCTCTTCCTCCTCTGACCCACTGATATCAGAGCCTGATATTTCTTCTCCTTGGATAGAAATTTAATGCAATGATTTTAGTCTGTACAAGTCATTTGTTATTTCAGAAATACTTATACCAATTTTCTTCATTAAGCTTTTTTTTTACTCAAATATACTTTTTAGACTTTTTGCAGTACTGGGATTGAACCTGGGCAGGGGTGCTCTATCACCGAGTTACACCCCAGCCCTCTTAATTTTTAATTTGAAGATAGGGTCTCAATAAGTTGCCCAAGCTGGCTTCAAGTTTGTGATCTTCCTGCCTTAGCCTCTTGAATAGCTAGAATTACAGGAGTGTATCACTATGCCTGGCTCAAAATATAAATTTAAATGTTTCAGTGCTCCTAGATAGTATATCAGTTGTGCTAATCTCAGAAATAGCTAAGATGTACACAGAGACTTTATTTTTCCAAAGTTCCTAAAAAAGTTAAAATCTGACCCATTTAAAAATTCAAATAATTATTTTAAATAGAGTTCTAAACATATACAAAAGATTATGTGTTAGAATTATTAGTTCAGTCTTTTAAAATGTGATCTCTTTGGGGAGTATCTTCTCCTTGTTTCCTGCTTAAGATTTCAAATAATTCAATCTGTATATTTTTTGAACCACAAAACTGTCAGTTAACACAGTGATCCCATATCTAGGATTATATCACACAAAAATTTCAAAGACAGCTTTATCTGTACAAAGATAATGTTAACTACATATTCTCTTAAAGACAAAAAGTCAATAAAATGGAACCATTAAATAGTAATACAGAGAAGCACTAAATTAACTTCAAATTAGTTATTTAAAGACATCATTGTCCATACATGAAGTTTTTAAGAAAGCAAAGGTAATTGGGGGAAAAAAGTAAAATACATACAAATTGCAACTAGATTATATACTTATAAATAAAGGCTGGAAAGAGAATAGTGTCTTAGGTAAAGAAATCATTTAAAATATTTTATTCTTTGAGACTAGAAACAATGATGCCTTATCAGCAATGATCATACATAGTGTCCCATTCTATATACCATTCTCCAATAAAAGGAACCAGGGAGAAATGTATTTTAAGATTATGGTAGGGAAGATACAAAATGAGCCTAAAACATTATCTTGAAGGACCAGAAAAACAAGCAGGTGTCTAAAAATAACTTGATGAGAACACCCTGAAAGAATATAGGAACTATCCCACTAGAGCACCTAATAGTCAAAACTGTGAGAATATGAGCAACATAATAAATGATAAAATACTGGATTGTAACACACAGGCTAAATAAAATAAAAATTTGAATAAATAAATGGAGATTCCTTTTCCTAGTAATAGAATTCCAAACACTAAACAAAATGAATGATGAGAATAGAAAAATCATCATTGAACAAATGCAACAGAATTATAGTCACAGGCAAGAACCACTGATACATGCTAAAATCAGGAATAAGGTACTTATTTTTTCCTACTATCTCTTAGTAGGAGAAACAGGATATTTGCAGAGTCTCAAAGTATCTCCCCACAAGATACATATTAATTGCAAATGAAAAAAATAGTAGGTTTACAGTGGAGGAGGCTTCAGAGTAACTATAAGAGAACTGCAGACTAGTCCAAATTAAAGGACAATCTAAACATTCAGGACCAGCACTCTTCAGGAAAGTCAAGATTCTTCATTTTCTTTTTCTTTTGCAGTGCTGAGAATCAAACCCAGGGCTTTGAACATGCTGGACACATGCTCTACCACTGAGCCATATTCCTACTACTGAAGTGTCAAGATTTTGAAAAACAAAAGGTACTAAGGCAATTGGAGGAGATTTAAAAGACAGAAAAAAAATATAGACTAATAAAATTATTGTGTGTGATCCTAGATTGAGTCATAGACTAAAATAAGAAAAAAAAAGGAGGCATTGGAAAGATAACTGGCAAAATTTGAAACAGCATATAGATTAGTTGGTGAGATTGTACTGATGTAAATTTCCTGGTTTCAATAATGGTACTGTGACAGATGTTAACATTAGGTAGCTGGATAAGGGTAATGAAGGGTATCATAGAAACTCTGTACTACATAAATTTTCTGTAAGTCTAAAAATAATTTTAAAATAAAAAGTTTAAAAATTACTTTAATGCTTTTGCCTACGTTTTATTGTTTATATGATCAACTCTATTAACTAAGTTATAAAAACAAAAGTTTGGAGCAAATAAAATAAAATGTGCTAAAAATAGTAACACCATATGATCCAGCAATTCTACTGTTGTTTTATACCCAAAACATTTAAAACAAGGACTGTCTGCATCCATGAACACAAAGTAAGTCACACAGGCCAAAAGATGAAAGCAATCCAAATATCCACCAATAGATAAATTGATAAACAAAGTGCAGTGTGTGTGTGTGTGTGTGTGTGTGTGTGTGTGTACATACATACATGCACACACATTGGAATACTTTTCAGCCTTAAAAAGAAAATAAATTGTGACATGCTACAAACATGGATGAATCTTGAGGTATTATGCTAAGTGAATAAACTTACATAAAAATTAAACTTAGATTAAAAAATCATTATTTAACAAGTAGACATAGGAAATCTACAAAATACTGTATGATTTTACATATCTAAGGTACCTAGAATGGTCAAATTCATAGAAAGTAGTACAGTGGTCCCCAGGGACTTGGGGGAGAAAGGAATGGAGAATTAGTATTTAATGGATACAAAATTTCTGTATATGGGATGATAAAAAAGTTCTGGAGATGAAGAGTAATAATAGTTTGCACAACAATATGAATGTATTTAATGCCACTAAACTGGTTAAAATGATACATTTTATGTTTCATATATTTTTGCCTCCTAATAATGTTAAAAATAAAGACAGCAAAATAAAGGTATGCACTGAAAATCAACATAACCAAGAAATTTAAACTTTTTAAAGCATAGTGGCTATAAATACCACCTAGTGGTCACATTTAAAACACCAGATTTCATTAGTTCACTCATTGCTTTTTCTCAATTATCTTACTCTAGTTGATTGAATTAGCACCTTCTCCAAACATATGTGATGGGGTTAGCATCTCTAAATTTCACCTGTGATGGAACTAGTTTCCTTCCCAAAGGCTGCACAAGTGCAGTTTCTAAGCCCTCTATTTACGTGATACACAGAGGAGTTCCTTGCCAATAAGAAGGACCTATTTGTCCCTAACAATGAAGGTGCAGGGAGTGACTAGGTACTTAATGATGACTGAGATGAATAAGATCTTTAAATTTCCCAACCATTTTGCATTATCATGTTAGAAAATAATTTCCAGCCAGGTGCAGTGACACATACCTGTAACTCTAGCATCTGAGGCTGAGGCAGGAGGATCACAAGTTCAAGGCTACCCTTAGCAACTCAGTGAGACCCTAAGCAACTCAGTGAGATCCTGTCTCAAAATAAAAAATAAAAAAGGCTGGGACTACAGATCAGTGGTAAAGCACCCCTGGGTTCAATCCCGTGCTTTAAAAAAAAAAAAAAGAAAGAAAGAAAGAAAGAAAAAAATATTTCCCCTCTCACATTCAAATTTGAGTATGAAAGCATATTTTAAGGCTATGCAATGCGCTTTTATTGATAGCAAAACAACTACTATCTTTCCTTAACAATAGTGAGAGGACTGGGGCTGTAGCTCGGTGGTAGAGCACTTGCCTAGCAAGTGTGAGGCCCTGGGTTCCATCCTCAGCACCACATAAAAAAAAATAAATAGAATAAAGGTATTGTGAAAAAAAATCTTAAAAAAATAATAATAGTGATACCAATCACAAAGCCAGAACTTTCACAATACACACACAGTAGAATGTGCTTCTATACATAGATAAAAATTTATTATTTAATAAGTAAACATAAGAAATTTACAAAAGGTCATGGGAATAAAGATGACAGCTTTAATTTAAAAAAATACAAATGTTATATAATTTATACTTAATTGAAAATGCTAAGTATCAATTGTTTTTCAGAAATATTCTTTTAAATATTAATGTTAAAAGCTCAAAAAAGTTTAATAGGTGATTTCTGTTAGAATGCTTCTCCGTTAACCAACATACTTTTAGCCAAAATTAAGATTTATATTATTCAAAGAATTTACCTTCTTCCAGCTTTTTCTTCAGTTCTTCTATTTCTTTCTGAAACTGGCGAAGCAGAGCATCCTTTGGATCTTCATTAATTCTAGCTTTATTTTTAATATTCTTAGCACGGTTGGCGTACCGTAATGTACTAATAGTTTCATCATAATTATAATCTGCTGGCCCAATATTCGCACACTGTTGAATTAGAAATGCAAATCATTTTACACTACCATTAATTAATAGTACAACTACAAATATATCAGAATAGACGTCTGAAGTACATAGGCACTTTGACCTTCTTAAAAAAGAAAGTGTCAATTATATGGGTTTCCAAGTGATAATCAAAAATCAAAGAAGTAAAATAGTTAATTTTTAAAAAATGAATATATCCTTTTTTATGTATTTATTTTTTTATGATGCTGAGGTTGAACCCAGTGTCTCACATGTGAGAAGTAAGTGCTCTACCACTGAGCTATAGCCCCAGTCCATAATAGTCAATTTTAAAAATGTTTTTTATATTACTTATGGACAAGTTAGAATCTTATATTTGCTGGATGTTAACGATACCACAAATGAAGTCTTACCATCATGGTTTTTGAGTTTCCTCCTAAAGAATCCTGAAGAAGACGAGTCAATTTAGAGTTACGATAAGGCACATGTGTGCTTTTTCCATCAACCAAGGCAGAAATTACATTACCAAGGGTGGAAAGTGAAAGATTGATTTTTGTAGCTTCCTTCAGGCGCTGTCCAGTAGCTCCAGTTTTTGCTTGTCTTTCTGAGCCCTAGCAATATACAGAGACAAAACTCAAGCTAAAATTATAATAATAATACAGAATACTCTTTTTAAGGATTTTTTTAAAACGCAATTTAACAGTAATATACCTGATATAACACCCGAGATTCACTTCAAAATAATTAAGGAAAGGAAAAAGTGAGCAAGAACAGATGAAACAAGACTGGCCACGAGTTGATAACTGTTAAAGTTGGGTAACAGGAACATAAGGAATCATTATGCTAGTCTACTTTCACATACATTTGAAATACTCCATAATAAGTAGTAAGTTAAACAAGTCACAATTTTAAAATCTCATGTAAATCACACCTTTCCACATTAATTCTTATTTATGAGATAAATGTAAGTCATAGTAAGACTTATTCCTTAAGTAGGATCCTGTTACTTACAGCAAGATCTACAAGATGAAGCTTCCCCATCCTGACATGCATATTACCATCGACACCTTTTTCACTGCACTCTATAGTAATAGTAAAGATGGCATGCGAACGGGAACTATGTTCATTCATATTAGTTGCACCAACAGAACCTTTAATAAAGGAAGGAAATCCTTAAAAAGTGTAACAGAGAATATGTACAGTAATAATTAAATACCCAGAATAGTTCAAAATACTTAATGTCATTATAATAAAAGCCAGAGAACATGTCTAGACCATAAAAGTAAAGATGTGCATTTAGCCATTATATGAAGTTTCCCTTACTTTTTTTTTTTTTTTTGGTGATGCTGGGGATTGAACCCAGGACCTTGTGCATTCAAGGCAAGCACTCTACCAACTGAGCTATAGCCCATCCCTCTCTTACAATTTTTGTTGAAATAAATAATTTACAAAGCCAGACAGGGTGGTATGGTGCCTATATAATCTCAAGTACTTGGGAGGTTGAGAGAGGAGGATCCCTGATACCAGTAGTTTAAGACCAGCCTAGGCAATATAGTGAGAACCCCCTTCCTCCCACTCTTAAAAAAAAAAAAAATTACACATAAAGAAGAAACGTGTTAAATAACTGGAACAATTATTGCTGATTCAGCTCTCTGTAAAGATAATTATGTTCTAGCAAACTAAACCATGGAAATTCTTGCAAATATGCTTTAGGAATATATAGTGTAACATTGTTTGCAACAACGAAAGACCAGAAACAACAAATAGGATAATGGCTAATCAATTATAGAATAGTCGTACTTTGGACAACTAAGCAGTCATTAAAAAAAAAATAGGCAGAACTGTATCCAATGATGTGAAAGATGCCCACAGCATTTAAATTAGGGTTTGGAGCGTACCCAGGATTGAATCCAGGGGCACTTAACATTAAGCCACATCCCCAGTCCTTTCATTTTTTCCTTTTTTAAAAAAAAAAATTTTATTATTTATTTTTATTTTGAGACAGGGTCTCACTAAGTTGCTTAGGACCTCACTAAATTGCTGATGCTGAGTTGAAACTTGTCTTGCCTCAGCCTCCCAAACTGTGGGATTACAGGTATGCACCACCATGCCCAGCTAGCATCTGACTTTTTAAAAGTCAAGTAAGAGAGGAATATATAGTTTGATCCCATTTATATGAAGCAAAACCAAAAGCATCCGCTTAAAATATACAAAATATTCATGTACTTGTACATTTTTACATGAATATATTGCATAAACATGCTTTTTTTTACAATAGTCACGTGCTAATATTTTTCTTAAATTCCAAAGTATTTTAAAGCATTAATTTCTATCTTCCTACTATTTATGCAGAACTTCTCTGTGCAAACATTGATTTTAGAAATGAGACATTAAAAGAGTATATTAGCGTGTGGCTATATTAGAAGTCATATAACTGGAATGTAAACTGCATTGATAAAGTCCAATGAAAGAAAGTACATGAAAAATCAGTGAAAGAACAAAGAAATAATTTATATGAGGAATAGATAGAATTAATCAAAGAAAACACAGGGATCTGCAATTCTACATTTTTCTATTTTCTTTTAAATTAAAATATGAATTTTCTCAAAAAATACAACCATTAAATTTGATACCACTTTTCAAAAATCATCTAATCAGTCAGTAGCAATATACAAGCTTCTACAGTGTGTTAGGTCTCACTTTATCTTGTTTTTCCCTCACTTACCATTATCTCTTATGTATATAGTATTTTTGTACCATAATTATAAAAAAATAGTGATTTATTGATGGTTAGATTGTTTACATCTAAAAATATTTTTCTAGATTATATATCAAGAGTTAGAAATACTAGATCAAAATGAACATTTTTTTTAAATGTCAACAGATATTGTTAATATTGTCCTTCAAAAATGCCATATCAATTTCCACTCCCACCCCAGTGCCCATTTCTTCAAAGCATAAAATAATCTGGAGCGGGGAGAAGTGGCACATGTCTATAATCCCAGTGGCTCAGGAGGCCGAGGACAGCAAGTTCCAAGCCAGCCTCAGCAACTTATCGAAGACCTAAGTAACTTAACAAGACTCTGTCTCAAAATAATAAGGATTGAGAATGTTACTTAGTGGTTAGGTGTCACTGAGTTCAATCTCCTGCTACCTGCCCCCTGCCAAAAGTATATCTCTTACTATTGTTTTAATCTGCATTATCCTGATTATTTATGAAATAATTTCATGTGATCATTGCTCTGTATGATTTTTCTGTGAATAACACATTATCTTTTGCTCATCTTTCTGTTGAGATTTTATCATTTTCTTATTGATCATTTTTCTGTTAGTTTATGTATAAAATTGAATAATGTTTAATTTCTTTGTGTTTGCTAGATCTATAGTCAAGACACAAAAACTTAATATTTTCACTTTCTATGTTCTTGTCATTTATTTCAAACTTCTAATTGCTATTGGTAACATCACTAGTACTAGGCTTTGGGCACCTATATTTTAAATATTGCTGAAGTTTCTTATTCTTTAGATTAAAAACTTAAAACAACTACTAAGGTAAATGTAATTTTGATAAGATTTTTTTTTGCTTTCCTTCTCAACAAAACGGAAGCAGTATAGTGCCTGGTTAATACTAATAGCCTACATTCAAATACTCACTCTGCCACTTAGGAACTATACTACCATAGAAAAGTTACTTAAACTAAGCCTCAGTTGGTCATTCAAAAAGTAGGACTTTAGTATCTCCACAGACTACAGTGAGGATTAAGAGATCATCTTCATGAAGCACTGAGCACAAGTGCTTCCCACTTATTAAGTGCTCAAAAAATGCTCTCAATATTTAGTGTAACTAATAAAAGACAATTATATGAGAGTTTCAAAGATTAGCACAATTAAAAAGAAAAATTTTGGGCAGCATGGAAAACGATCTGATATCTTTCATTCATTTATATTCTCTACAGAGTAATCATCAAAGGGAAAGAATTTTCAAGAAACCTTAAAGTTCAGTCTCTATAGGGCAAAGAATCACACTGTTTTTGTCTCTCAACCAATCTATTCAACACGTAGACATTTAATCACAATTATGCACTATACTTACGATTTTTATGGCCTAGTGTCATAATTCTATCCATATCATCAGCATTATTTACCACATAAGCTGATAAATCTTTGATATAAACTCCCACATCAGGCCTTTCTTTAACCTAAAAAAAAAAAGTAAGACTTTACTTACATTTATCATAATAAAATTTGTTATTTATCATTTGACTTTCAAAAAAAACTATGGTAGAGGACATGTACACTTCTAATCTGGCAAACTAAAATCTTTGTAAAATACAAAAATACTTGGATGCAATGGCAATGTCAAATTGCTATGGAAGTTTTTAAGCACTTTCTGTGTTAACATTACTGCCAACTGGAAACATTCTTCAAGTTCACATCTGTTCGTGAACTATTTGTCTTCATGAACTTTAAGGTCTTTTCCAATCACATATTAATTCAAAATTCAATTAATAACTGATTAGCTATGAAAGATGAAGAAATAAAATACAATCTCGAATTTGTTAAAGTTTAAAAACTGAGAATTTGTCAAGGTTTTAAACATATGCTTAATATGCATAAGGCCTTGGGTTCTATTCCCAGCACCAAAAAAAAAAAAATTTTATTGTCAGGAGCTGTCCATGGGTTGCATGTGAGTCACCACGCATAGAAGCCTCATGGTAGAGACATTTGGTGTCTGGGAATAACCAGTGGACATTCTTCTGGTCAATTACCCAGGGACAATGTGAATCTCTATCTGGCTCTGCAATGACCCACCACAGCACCTGAGATGAGTGTGACCTTCGAAGACGTCAATCAACCTGCTGACTGCAAGATATTACTAAGCAAGACTCTGCCCTTGAAACCTTATCCCTGCTTTTGATGTACCCCCTAAAATAAACCACCAGAGCCATTTTATCATGTCTAGTTCCAGAACCCATGAGCACTAGATCTATCAGGGGCTTTACTTTCTGTACATATATTTCTGAGTATTTGTGCATTGTTATTCACTAATTATTTGAGATTGATTATAAATCTTAGGGTGGCTAGGATTATCCTGGGCAGGAAGAAGAACCCCTTAATGAGATGTTGGCCGTTATCCCCCTGATAATTTATCATAAAAAATTTAATTTCTATAACAATACAGTTATAGTGGGGGCGTTTATGGTTTACTTGAAACACAATTAGTATTTATAGGCAAGGAGCAAGGATACTAAACATTCTGAAACGGGTGGGAGGGCTCACCCAAAGAACAACTGTCCCATATAAATTTCAAAGTCCTAGTAGATATTTACATGGATTAAAAAACTATTCATAATTATCTGAGACTAAGATATAAAGACAAAGGTCTTTTCCATAATAGTAATAACAATAATATAAAAATACAGAAAAACTGAAGAAAAAATTGTACTTAATTTTTCTCAGAACTCTACCAAAAGCTAATCACTGTTTTAAAAGACCATGTCATTGACAACGACACCAATCAAGTGTTCCGGTTACTATTACAACATACCTGTATGTTATAATATTCTATATCTGTAGTTCTTACAGTCATGGTGATTCTCCATGTCTCTAACTATTTCATTACATCCTCAACTGTGGTCCCCCATCCAAGCATTTCCACATTGAAGTACTAGCATTTTAATTTTAAATTACTGTTATTCTCCTTTTTATTACAGTAGGGCAGTATACTAACTTTTTACAAATTATGTGTGTTGGTAGATTTTATCACCTGTGAATTTCATTTCAGGATAGTCAAAAGGGCATTACAAAATGTTATTTAAAAAAGAGCACAAGGTCTAACAGGGTTTAGAATCACTGGCAAGAATGTTCCTGAGAATAAATCTAATCTATAATTTAAAGTACAAAAACAGAAGTGTTCCTTCTAAATAATTTTTTCCCAAAAGTTTGAAAAACAAAATAACAAACTTTTCAGAGGCAAAAACACTAAAAGATAAGAAAACTAAAGATGACAACTAGCAACAAAAAAAATTGTTTCTACAATTTGCTATGTACATGTTATCATTACAGAATAGCCTTCATTATTCAACAAATAATTATTTTTTAATATTTTTAGTTGTAGATGAACATAATACCTTTATTTTACTTATTTATTTTTATGTGGTGCTGAGACTCAAACCTAATGCCTCACACATGCTAGGCAAGCTGAGCTACAACCCCAGCCCAACAAATAATTCTTAATGCTCCAATATGCTGTACCAAAACTCTATTTATATAAGCTTAAAATGAAAAATGCTAACAAATATTATTACATGTCAGACACTGACTTAAACACTTTAATTTGTTAATGTTGGCATCAATCCTATGAAGTAGATCCTATTATTATTTCCATTTTCATGTGACAGAACTAAGACTCACAGAGGTTAAGTAATTTGATCAAGATCAGAGCTAGAATTCAAGCTAAGAGAGCAGGACCCCAGAAACGATCCTCTTAATCCTAAGTGATATTACAATTCACTTGCTACATGACTTTGAGCAATGGATGAAACCCCTGTAAATTTCAGTTACCACATCAGGAAAAGTAAACTGCTGGGAAGATTAAATGAAATGAAATATCACTACTACCAACTGCCACTGACTACATCAAATGTCTACACAATTGGAAAGGCTCAGTAATGGTGGCTGCTGCTATGCTGCGTATATTCTTCACCATCCTACAATGGCGGCTATTGTAATTCTACCCCATTCTACTGTTATTCTGCATATGTTATTCACCTCTATTTTACTGAAAATGCAATTTCAACACAAAATTTTAATATTAATATTTAAAGGCTATTCTTTCCTTGTTATTTGTCTCATATTTCACAGGGTTAAAAATTTGACAGTACCTAACAAACTGACATCATTTACTACTTGACTCACAAGTCTTGCTTCAGTAACTCCCCATCTCCTTTGTCTAAATTTAATAAGAAACAAATCTACAAGGTTTTTTAAAACCTTAAAAGTATTTTTTATACAAAAAGGTTCTTAATTTAGTAAATATTCTATTGCTTTGGAAAGTATTCCAATTTCAGTTACCCTTACCTCTAATCTCTGTGTCTGATCCTTGCCCAAAAGGTCACGAACTTCTTCATTATATATTTCCAAATATGACACTCGAACCAAAAATCTATAAATAAAATATTTTAAGCACATAAAAAGCAGTGAAATGTTTATGGGACCCGTTTTAAAATGAGTTTATAACTGTAAAACTTTCTTGTGTTTGTATTTCTTATTAATAGAAAATAAAAGAATTCCCTTTTACCTTGTATCACCCTCTGCCTTTGCAATATGACCAAATATGTGAGCAAATGAATTGGGAATGATTCCTCTAAGTTCAGGAACAGCTCGAACACCTTCCATGGTAAAAGTTTTGCCTGTTCCAGTTTGTCCATATGCAAAAATAGTTCCTGAAAATGATCAAGATAATCAGCCACTTTTTACAGCCTGATGTGACAGAACAATAACTCTTAAAATTAATTCCTTTGATATTGTGATGTAATTTCTTCCCTGAATTCAAAATTTGCTCTAGTACAGATTCCATCTTTATTATCAACATGTACAATATGAACTCCATGCCACATAAATAAAACACTGCTAAAGCACTAGTCAATAAGATATTACTAATAAAAAAATCTTAAACCCCAAATGCAAGAATCTTATCCTTAATTATAAGAAATTTCTTTTAATATGTATTATTTATTGTAGACATTAAATTGTAGAAGGCAGCAGAAGAACACAGGATCTGGAGCAAAAAGACTTCAGTCTGAATCCATATCTGCCCATTTTTAGCTACTTGACCTTGGACAATTTATCTACCCAGAGATTGTCTCCCTGATGGTAAAACAGGGTTAAGAATATTCTATATTGATAGTTAAGAATAAAATGAAACAATTTAATTCAAATAACCAGGCTGGGGTTGTAGCTCAGTGGTAGAGCACTTGCCTAGCATGTGTGAGGCACTGGGTTCGATTCTCAGCACCACATATAAAACAAATAAATCAATTAAAGTCCATCAATAACTAATAAAAATATTTTAAAAAACACAAATAACCAACCCTGTGCATGGTACAGAGTACCAGTAAATGGTGGGGGTTTTTTCCCTTATTAATCTTAAATAAATTCATTTTTAAAAAATTGTTTTAAAGTAACATTTATAAGAAATATGGGTGTTAACTAAAAAGTGACAATGCAATTCTTACAGATTAACTAGAGACATAACTTAAAACCTTCCAAATACCTAAACTTTTTCATCCCACAAATATTTACAACACACCTGAGTGTGGCATTGTGCTAGGCACCAGGGCCAGAGTCACAAACAAGACTAATAAAATCCTTAATCTTAAAGTGCTTATAATCTTAGGGAAAAGATACTGGCAAAACAATTTTTAGCCTGATGAGTACTGAGAAAACTGTTCCAGATGAGAGTAGGATATAAACCAAACCAGGGAATGGATAGGAGTAGTGGTCAGAAAAGGCTTTCCAGAAGAGGTACAGTTTAAGATAAGATCTGAAACACAAATGAGATGGGAATAGAGTAGAAGAGGCAAAAGGGAAGAAAGAGACTGGAGGTTTTCAGACACTGAAATGAGATCAGAAAGCAAGAAACATGTAAAATGTAAGGTAGATACATAGAGAGAAAGAGAAACTAAACTAGCAATGTCCTAATCACACAGGGTCATGAAAACTGTATTAAAGTTTTTAGGCCTTATCCTGAAGCAGAGTGAAGCCATAGAATGATTTTTCTATGGTTATATTGTGGACAGTTGGAATAAAGCAACGGTAGACATAGAGAAACCAGTTAGAGAGCTGTAGTCAGGAGACGATATGGCATGAGAAGATAGCCTAGGATGTACAGCATAAATGAAAAAAAGTTCCTTAACTATGAATACTCTATTCAGTTAACCTCAAAGGACACCATCATTTTCAGACATTTTAAAAAATAAATCAATCACACCAGAAATAATTTTTTACACATTGGAATATAAAGTCTCAGTTTTTTCAAACTGGCTATTTCAAATTCTGCCATTAGGAATGTAACTTATTACATTCAAAGGATCTGAAAATATTGTAACCCTTATAGAGACACAATGAATTACTAAATAATAAGCTCTATCATGATATAGCTACTATTTACTGATCATTTCCTATGTACTAGGCCATGCACTTTACATGCAATTATATTTCTTTTTTTTACCCCAATCCTAAGGGATAGACACTATTGTATTCACATAATTTATTTAGAGAAATAGAGGCTTAAGTTTAGTAATTTGGTCAATGTCATAAATGCAGAGACAAGGTGTGAACATAGTCCATCTGGCTACAGAGCCCATATTTTTTCAACAGTATGCAATGGTCAAAATTTTTTTAACTCAAAATTAGTTCCTATTTCAATTTCTGTGACTGCATTAAATACTTAAAATTTACTAATTAAAAAAAACTATTAATCTATACTTTTTATACCTGAGAAAAGAAGATCATGGATTTCCTATAATAAGAGAATCTCATCTCAATTTTAGAGAGTCAGAATTTCTGGTTTTAAAATGTCAAACTTAAACAATTCTAATGGCATATAGTTTTCTTCAACATGAATCTCTTAAAACTTTACTTGTTAATATCGAAAACTGTGCTCAGGAGGCTGAGGTAGGAGGATCACAAGCTCAAAGTCAACCTAGGCAATATTAGTAAGACCTTGTCTCAAAGAAAGAAAAGAGAAAAAGCCAGGTATGGTGGCACATGTATCAATAAACCCAGGAGGCTGAAGCAGGATTGTGAATTCAGGGCAGCCTAGGCAACTTAGCAAAACCCTATCTCAAAATAAAAAATGAAAAGGGTAGATGATTGGCAGAACACTCCTAGGTTCAATCTGTAGCACTGCAAAAAACAAAACAAAAATACTAAAACTGGATTGAGGTTTTTACTCAGTCTTCTCATTACCGTCATATCTTAAAAATGGTAAAAGATCCACATAAAAACATGAACATTAATGTTCGTGGCAGCTTTATTCATAATTGCTAAAACTTGGAAGAAACCAACATATCTTCAGTAGACATAAGGATATAATACCATCCAGACAATGAATTATTATTTATCACTAAAAAAATTAGTTATTATCAAACCATAAAAGAGAGTATGGAAACTTAAAAGCATATTACTAAGTAAAAGAAATGACTATATACTATATGATTACAATTTAACTCATTCTGAAAAATACAAAAGTATAGAGGCAGTAAAACAATCAGTGGCTGCCAAGGTTAAAAGGGAGGGTGGGAAGAACAGGCAGACAGCATAGAGAGTTTTTAGGGTGATGAAACTACTATGCAAAAAACAAGGGTAGGTAGATATTAGCATTAATTTATCTAAACCATAGAATATACAACAGCAAGAGGGAACCCTAATATGAGCTATGGAGTTTGGATATAATGATGTTTTGACACAGGCTCATCATTTTAACACATATGCCAACTTGGAAGGGGATAATCGATTAAGGAGACTGTGAATGTATGGGGATGAGAGTTATATGGAAACTCTCTACTTTCTGCTGGGGATTTTGCTATGAAATTAAAAACACTTAAAATAAAATTTATTAATTTCTTTAAATTGTTTTATTTATTTATTTTGTTTTATTTATTTATTTTGGGACTCATTATGTTGTCCAAGCTGGTCTCAAATTCCTAGGCTCAAGTAATCCTCACATCCCACCCTCCACAGTGGCTGTGATTACAGAGTCATGCCACTGTCCCTGGACAAAATTATTTTAAAATGGTAAAAAGATTATGTACTTGTCATTGAGAATCCAAGAAGTTATAGCTAAATCGTATTTCAATAATGGAGAGTACACTGCATTACATATTATTTTGGTCCTTTTTTTATGTTTTCTCTTGTTAATGACAATTTTCAGTCAGACATTGAAAAGTAGGTATAAACTCTTGATAGTTGAATACTATTCTCTCTATTTATTTATTTTTAAAACACATAATTCTGTTATTTCAAAATTAAACTAGTGATATTTCAGTTTCCACCAAGATAAACAAGGACTAAGTTAACCTACCTTCTTGGCTAAAACTAAAAGTATACAAAAGTACACAAAATCACAGTTTAATTTTTTATACAATACCTTTATTCTTATTTTTATTATTTTTTTATGTGGTGCTGAGGATCAAACCCAGTGCCTCTCACATGCAAAGCAAGCATTCTATCACTGAGCTACAAACACAGCCCCCAAACCACAGTTTTAAAAACAATGAACATTCATAAACAAAGGACTGTGATTTCTAAAAAATGAGACACAAATGAGGTGGGTCTCTTGATTTCCCATCTTACTGCCTTAAGAGAAAATCCAAGCCATGGAGCAGGAGGGAGAACTCAAGAGACCAGAAGATACCCTGAGCTAAGAAAAAGGTGCTGAGAAGCTACAAAGTAAGTCCAAAGAGGCAAAAGTTTGGAGGACACAGTACCAGAGAAGAGAGAACTGAATAGAGTGAGCTCTGTACATCTGCCCAGGGTCCTCCGCAAGTACTCTGCTGAAACTGATAGGCTTAGATGAGGAAACTATCTAAATAGGGGGGATGGGAGGATCAGCTAGACAGATTGTAAAAAAGAATACTCAGCATTCACACAGGCCAGGAATAGTATCTATTTCCACAGGCAGACTGGAAAAGCCCATGACAGGACACTAGGTACAAGTATGCAAAAGGGTCTTTGCCTCAATGGGGAACAGTTAACCTCAGATTAAACACTGCTCTGATACTTACTAACAAGTATTAAAAGAGTGATCTGAATGAATCAAATTGTTTTCAAGTCACTGCAAAACTCATAAATATTTATAGGAATAAAAAAAATCCAAGACCCAAGGTAAATTCCGAATGTCTTGCATCCAACCAGAAATTGCCAACTTTGCAAAAAAGCAAAACTATATTAGCCATAATGAAGAAATGAATCCATCAATTAAAACTAACCCATGGGGTTGGGGCTGTAGCTCAGAGGTAGAGTGTTTGCCTCGCACTTGTGAAACATTGAGTTCTATCCTCAGCACACATAAAAATAAAATAAACAAAATAAAGGTATTGTTTCCATCTACAATTAAAAAATTTTTTTAAAAAAACTAATGCATAAATGATAAAGATGTGAGAATTAGCAGACAAGTACATTCAAATAGTTATAAAAATTGTATTTCATAGGTTAATAGGCCAAGTAGAAACATGGACGGAAAACATAAAGTTCAAATAAAACTTCTAGAGATGAAACCTACAATGTGTGAAATGAAAAATACAATAAACAGTATTAATAGCAGATTAGGTACTATAGAAGAAAAGACTGGTAAACTAGGAAACACACTAACAGAAACAACCCAGAGAGAAAACAGGAAAAAAAGAGAGAGAATATTAGTGAGCTGTGCTATAATTTCTAA